TAATATAGTATAGTGTAGTATATATATATATATATATATATATATATATATATATGGCTGAAAATTACGATCAATATTTTAGTGTAACGACTGCCAGCACTTTTGTAAGAAATTGTGGACAGGTGCATATTAAGCTAGGTAAAACATCCATCTATTTACAGTGTTGAATATGTGTTCCAGATCTCGAAAAGTGTGCTTGTCTATCGACAATATGACAAATTTAAAAAAAATATAAATTGCGTCACGAATTTACGACAATTTCAGAAATGTCTCGAATGGGCAATACCTTTGATTGTTTACATGTATATTACGTGCCAGTAGTGAATCGTCGTATCATCAAAATCAATGTACACTCGAAGCTTATAATATAGAAACATGCTATAACAAATTTCAATCACCAGTGTTTCGTATACCAATACGTCCACTTTATTCTATATACGGATAACATAACTGGAAGCACGTGTGGAAGCATTGTTCTCTTTCGGCGCAAACTTTAGTACTTTGTAACGAATGTTCTCTAGGTAAGTATTTCATTTTCATCGGACTTGAATATCAGTTTGAATATTGTCTGTTTTTTTCGAGAAATGAAACGTTGAACATGTTGGTAAATTGCGGTTAGTCTTTATTTTATGCGAGTTCGCCACTTTGTACTACGAGATTTGTACATACGTTTGTCCCACAGCAGTTTCTTTACTGACCGTGCGGTACTATGTCTTTGTAACTTTGTTATCCTGGCCAGCGGTACAGGCCCCGTCCGACTGTTCATTCTATATTCTTGGGATTTTGTTCGAAAGTAAACCTGAAGCTTACCTCCCTTTCTCTACTATTATGTACTCTACGTGTTAGTAGATTAATCTACATTATAGCCTATTTCCTGCCGAAAGGATCGAACGTTTCCTCTGTTGCCGGGAAGGTGAAGAACGATGTCTCGCCCGTGAAGAACTGCGTCTCACCCACTTGTGTGAAAAACTGTGTCTCACCCGCTTGTGTGAAAAACTGTGTCTCACCCGCCTGTGTGAAAAACTGCGTGGGGCCTTGCGAGAATCCGAATGTACTAAACGAACTGAAGAACGTTACTGGCTCGCCCACGGACGAGAACGAGGAGAAGAACGTCTCTACGGGGGCGGTGAACAGACTCGTGCTGAAGAACGTCTCTACTGGCCCTTGTGAGAAGAATGAACTGGTGACGAAATCCGTGGCTCTGTGATGTGGAGCCGAGTGAAGAAAATATTATGAGTTTTTGCTTTCATCACCAGGTGATCAGAAAGTGTGCTACAATACTTTAATATCAGAATATTCTAGAGAACACTCTTTAGCAAATGCTCTTAGCATATTCTAGAAAAACGAGATGCGGTAGTAAGTTCATTTTAAAATACCAAGTTCAATCTCAAAATTCAAACTTACCCTCCTTGTATTTCGGTTTCCGTAGTAGTGACTACCTCTGTTTGAATGATGACCTGTGTAACTGTGACTTCATTTGTAGCTTCCACGGGTTGTGTGGTGGTGGGAGCCTCTGTGATAGTTATCACAACCGTTGTTGTGCCACTCTCTGTCTCGGTTGGCTCAGAAATTTCAACTGTTATGATACAATAGAATTGACCATTAAAATTTGTAATCATAACAATTTAAAATATCTAATATATGTACTGCATTCGTTCTGTATTCGCATGCATGTTGTCGTATTCTACGATACAAAATGATATAATGGCTTTCAAGTTGTACTTACTCTCTTCAAATGTCTCTACTACGAATGCGTTGTTATAGTATGAGCTTGTGTCGGGACCGGAGGCCAAGCACCATGAGAACACATCCTCGAATGGATCAATTACTACTACGGTTCGTCGACGGCCCTGAGTAGGTAGCGTATGATATTAGGCGTTTAGGTCGGATTCGAGATATGAGTATAATTGTCATTTATGATACGCCATACTCAATTGCTATGAGCACAGGAAATTATGATCCTAAGTGCATACAGATAAAAACCATAATTCATAAACGCAATACATACCTCATCGTCCTCATCCTCTTCTTCCTCATCGTCGGTGACTTGAGTGCCATCGTTCCCATCAGCTCCATCCAACACAAGGACGTCAGCATCACCATCAACCACAAGTAAGCCATCCTCATCTGCAGCTACTAACAAATTCTCCACCTCGACTTGCTCACCATCATCACCCTCAACTACCACCACAACCTCAGAAGGATCCTTAACTCCGGGGTCCAGACGGGGATCTTCACGGCCGCACAAACAATTCATCTCATCAGGCTCAGGGCACGGACCCAGGCACTGACCTACGTCACGTGCGATAAGCTTGGACTTAGTTTGGAACTTCATGTACGGGACGTTAACTGTAGCACATTTGGTGAGCGTGGCGTAGTTGTTCTTGCTGCGATCGTAATCATCTTCGGGTACAAGGCTCATGCATAAATTGCGGCCCACGTTTCTCCACTCCTTGTAATTGTTCACCCAGATGTACTCCCACTTTTGGATGTCGTCGTTATTACATTCAGCAAGATGAACTTGGAAGGCATATGTGCCCGATCCTGGTTCAAGACACATATTGTCTTCACCTGTGAATTTGATACGTTGGTATTCTGCATTGGCTACCTGAACGACTGCCAGAGCAGCGATAAGAATGAAAGATCGGGAAAGCATACCGTCGAACTGTGTATAAATTTACCGGAAGACAGTAAATCACAAACACACTGTATGTTCGAGACTGAAGTTATACCAATTCAGTATCGTGTATTTATCAATTTTCGTGTCTGTATACCACATGAAATAGTCATATCAAAATATGTAGTCTAATACAAATGTGTAAAATCATGGCTTATGAGGAATTCGGTAACTTTTTAATTCTTATACTGAATTGTAAGTGGATGTGCAGAACACTTAATGTTTATGCATCAGGAGCTAAATTAGCCGTAGACTCTAGTTAGAGTAGAGTGACTGTGGTGCTGGACTGCTGGTGAGCCGAGGGCCAGGCCGTGGGCCGTGGAATATGTAAATATTTCTCTTTTATTTGGTTTTGTTTTAAAAAACAAATAGTACATATTTATCTCGAAACTCGAAAGTATTTGTTTTTAAAGAAATAGGCTGTATTTATTAAAGTACAGTACAAATATTTTATTATTATTAATAAAAAAATGCTATTCACCTGAGAATTCTGAGTCCTGACCCTGTTTTTCAGTTCTTTTTTATTTTACAAAACAATGCTAAAAAGTAAAAACCGTTTATAGAGACTTTAGAGAGCCTAGAGAGGTTGTCTATTCATTACATACTGAGTCTGTACCAACTGTTAAAAGAGCTGATTCGTCCAATAGCGTGCACGGATAAAATATCTCTGGCGAAATTCTTTGATTTTCAAAACTCACAGACAAATAACTTTTCTAAATAAGTCCTATTGGCTTAATCAGCTTTACTCGTACTCGAATTACTAAAAGGTGCGAATAAACTGTTGCAAATTGCCCGCCTTTTTTCGATGCCACATCCTATTAGGATGGGGCAAAGGGCCATTGGCCCGTGGGCCATGGGCCATGTGCTATTTATAAAATAGTATTTACTTTTTAGACTGCAGTTTGCATCCTGCTGACCTGCTCTGCTAATAATGTTTCTGTTTTTTTTACAAAACCAAACAAAAGTAATATATATAATTTTTATTTTTTACTGCCCTCTTTTTTTATTTGAATTTGTTTCTGTAAATGTTTTTAAAACGTATGATTTGTCAATGGCCAAATTTTTATGTGGACATGCAATTGCTCGCTCTACATTCTGTTTACAAGGTGAATTATTTTACTATGTATGCTGTATTTAGAACAAACTTTCCAATACGAACACTGTTGTTCTACTAAGGTGGACGCTGAGCGACAAGAAAAGCTTACTAAATGTGTACGCTAACAGTCGACCGAAATCGTATCCTGAAAGTGTGCTGATAGCATTTATTGAGCGATTAGATAGCAGAGACTGAGTAGAACATTTCGAACCCAACACGTTGCGATATAGCTACTCAGCCAGTCTTAAATACGTAGACTCGCACCTCCACGCCCTTGTAATATGTTCATAATGTAATATGTAAACGCGCCTTGAGACCAACTAACCTACAAACTTACAATGTCGGCATTGAAATAGGATCTATTAGCCTATCTCATGCACCAACTTTGGCGACAAAATCTTCCAGGAAACATTGCTGCTTAGCTCTGAACATTGTCGGGGGTATTTTAAGGCATTATGTACTTATTCGGAATATAAAGAGTCACTCATACATATATATATATATACGGTATAATCAGACAGGCGTACATTCAATATCTTTTTTAGAAATGAGTCCGACATGTTGGGCAAAATTAGCATATTCCTGCCTCCATATACATAATATATCAGTACGGAGTTGGCTATCGAAAGAAGTTCATTGTCATCGAAACTGACGATACATTGGAGTCAACTTTCAGGCACTTCTATTGTCAATTTGAATCTCAAAGACTCTGTACAATAACAGAAAACTGGTACAATATCATTGGAAAATTAAAATAATAGTAGATGCAATATCGTCAAATCAAACGCCACCAATATTATCATATTTCTGTACTGCATTCAACAGTGCATTTAGTCTGGGAACGGGCATCAATAGTATCCCACACAAACCATAGCCTTCTAAAAGGGACACAAGCTCGTGATTTTCTTTCGCGGAATAAATAGCACCATATATACCCATAAAATACACCGATATACTGTTCTATAATTTTCACAAAAATATATTTGATATATGTCGCACACATAAAGTCATAGACAACAGCTGATAGATGATAAGTAAATTGGAAAAGGAAAAATTAACATAACCAAAGTATTGATGTATATCAGCATATATATATATATATATTAGGTATGTATGTATGTATGTATATATATATATGTGTGTGTGTGTGTGTGTGTGTGTGTGTGTGTGTGTGTAGTAGTATAGTATAGTATAGTATA